TATCCTATGTTGCAAAAAGTGCGGCATACTATGGAACCGCGACGTCAATGCGGCAAAGAACATGATGCAGATTGCGTCTTCTACTTGGTCAGGAGAAGGCAGACCGAATCCCTTTCGCAGACCAGGGCCTAATATCACCACAACGAATGTGGGTTCCTCTTGAGGATTTAGATCGCTACACTTTGTGGTAAGAGATATTTCCAATCTCTATTGTATTTTTTATTGAATATCATACTAATCGGTGCAAATTTTCGTCAACTTGAAACGTCTTTCTTGCGCTGAGTGTGATCGAGTTTGCCTTGATATCAATTTGGGTGTGTAAACGTATATTACCTTTTGTTTGATCCGCACCAATGAAACATCAGACTGATGCAAATTTCCTCTCATTTTAGGTGCAAAATGATCATGCTCACAGCGCAAAGAAGACTTTCAAAGTGACGTATAATTTTTTCGAAAATAAAGTAGGTTTTACGACGCCTGCTTTCCTAGAAATTCACAGTCAGCCGTCTTTTTAAAAGCGAATTTTTGGCTTTGAGCTGCCAAAGAAACGTGCGGTACCTGATGGTGATAGTGGAAAACTACGAAATGTCGACCTTCCATCGGAAATATGACTTTGCTTATTGGAAATTCATTGGTTAGACCCTATGTGATTAGCTGTTCAGGACTGATTATGATATCTTAATTGTCAATATGGATATATACTTCATTTACTCGGTCTGTAGCAGATGAGACAACGTCCTGAAACTGCAAAATAATCATTTCAGGAGAAGTGTATGATAAGAAATGATCATTTGAGCACCTTGGTGACATTGAAAACCCGTTTGCTTCGACATGATACAAACATAACATGCAAGAGGTCTGAAAATGGCATATGTAGTCTTTTCCCAGTTGAGCATAGTCCCTCTATGCAATGGCCCCATGCGCGCTATAGGGGATTTTATAGGCGCTTGGGTTCCTGCAGTGAGCTTGCCATTTTTCCGTGCTATGTATTAAGTACTAATTTCAGTACTATTTCATGCTGCATGCTTGGACTTGCATTGTCTTGCAAACACCGACAAACAGCTATGGAAGGAGTTACACATGAGTGTGTTCGTAGTAATCGTTGATATGTGTTTCAGCTACCTGAATCCAGCTCGGCTTCATTAAGCCGTACGTTCAGTCCAGAGATTTCTTGGCAATTTGCGTTCTCCCTAAATGTATTTTCTCTTTATATGGGTATTTCTGACACACCTTCAGCCGTTTATCCTTCTGCTTGATATAATTTTATTTACAAAAGAAGCATGTACGGATGAAGATCCATTTGTATGTATAGGTGGTAAACTCTAAAAGGATATGCGATGCCTACAATTCAAGAGAGCAGGTAGGCGTATACTGCTTGTGATGAAAATAGTCGATGTGACACCATTCCATCACCTTGGCTTTCACATTTAGCAACATGTTGACCGTGTAATATCTATTAAAAGCTCATCATTAATACATCGTCCAGGATTTTAATGCAATTTCCAATGTGGTTTCACTTACCGAAGTGGCGCATCACCCCATCGATTCCAATATATCATATTGGTCTCGTCCACGGCCTTGGTGAAAGCTTGGATCTCTGGGGATAACCAAGTTTGGACGTTGACGATTTCAAAGTTATTGTAGTACATGAGAGGCTGCATGTCTTGTCGTGCTTGATAGTCTTGTGGTATAGCGAGACAGTTGCCATGAGATTGGTCTAAAACCGTTTTTCCATTCACTGCTTGATGGCTGGTATTATGCATGTAGTCGTTGAAAAAGTCAAGCATGCCATGCGCTACATGTCTTGCTTCTGTAGTCACAGCTCGGTAGCCGTAATCCATTCCTCGAGATCGCATGTATCTAAATAAATCCACGTCGATTTTACTGTCCAGTCGACTATCGTGGTCCAATCGCCAGTAATAATCCAGATCTCTGATAGCCGGGTGGTTAAAGATATCCACAAAGAAGAAATGAATCATATGATTGTAGCCCGGGAATGCTCTACGTGCCGTAGGGTTCATGTTGAGGCTATCAATTTGAGCGGGATCATTGATATCGATTTGTGGGAACGATGAAGGTAGCGAGAACTCGACAAGATGGAATGTGACATTCATTTCTTCTGGCCACATTGCTCGATAACGCTCACGGAAAGTGCTATTAAAAGGAGGCTCATGGAAAATGTGAATAGGGTAGCGGTAATCGTTGTTGAAGTTGTCCCATAGTCTCCATAGTGACTGATTGAAGCGCATCATTTCCTTATGGTTCTGCTCCAGTGGGCGGTCCAAGAATTCAATGAGGAAAACAATGGCAGCATTGACAGGAGGGGTTTCGGTAACAGACACATCACTGGTTCTCAAGACAATGGGTGACCTTGGCTTTTGCTCAAGAGGGTCCGCAGGACAATCGGAGGATATCTTGTATATCGGTTCAGTATCCTGTTCGACCACCATATTCTCAGCTTGCCATCGTAAAGGTTGGACATTCTGTCGCCGTGCTGAAGCGAATATAAGAACGCAAAGTAAACTTGCTAAGATGATGACAATACGGACTCTCCGTAACTTTGGCGTAGGTGACATGTAGACGACGAGAGGAAAGCAAGAGAGAAGAAGAGGTTAGAAAAGTAAGATAGGAAAAAATAAATCCTGACATTAAGCTATCGTCATTGTCTGAAAATAAAAAATCTGGATAAAAAAAAAAAAAGCAAGGTATCTATGGCGCCAAGCAAAAATCCTAATGTTCTTTCCCTGGGATACTGTTCGCAGCGCAGATCTCGAGCCATTATGGAACTGACCTTTCAAATCAATTGTTTGCGTGTACAGACTGGGTCATTTCATGGAATGATATTCGTTGACCTTCTTACGTCAAACCAGTGGATGATTTTCCAGATATGAAGCCCATTAAATTGTATAAAAATATACAAAATGCCTCCAATGAGCTTAGTGAAAAGACATCATCTCCGCCATTAGTGAGATGACGTTAAAAATCTTTTCAGAGCGGGATAATATCAATTTGGGAAGAATGATCTCAGTTGGTTGGCTAATTTTCAGCTGGGCCAGACCACTTCATGGGGCGGTTCCCTGTATGAAATTAACAGAACCCTGTTCATTTATTGGGTCTCCCTTCCTCTTCTATTAAACGTAGAGACTATGTATGTACACTTTAAAAGCACAAAATTGCTTCTAGAAAACCAGATCTGATGTTGAGCTAGGTTGGTCGTGGTGCTTGATGACTGAGTTTACTGGCAATCCCCCTGGCCCGAGCTAATGCATCCGCGAATTTATCGGGTTGCTGGCCGACCGCTGGTGCTGTGGCTGCAGGATTAGCGCTGGGCACAAATTGAATGTTGCTTCGATTCTGTTGGGCAAGCGCCTTTTCCTCTGCCGCTTTCTTTTGTGCATCCAGCAAACTGTCTATATCCGCGCCAAGGCCGTGTGGATCGAATTGCTCCTTTGGAAAGTTAGAGCTATATTCATCCAGCTCAACAAACTCTACCAACTTTTCATAGATATGTGGATTTCGGAACGCTTTGCTCTCTTGCAAATGTTCATTGAACCGGGTGCCAGATTCTCTTAAAGACAAAAAATGAATTATGCGAGCCTACAACCGACAGAAACGAGCAGTATCAATTTCCGTCCGTGCATAGAATTGTATTACACATGTCGTAAACGTTACTTTACCTCTACGTCCGGATCGCAGTCGCCGGCTGGCTCTGGTGCAATGTTCCAATTTTCCACGCCAGGTACAGGATCTGGCTTAAGCAGTAATTTCCGTCTCCTTTCTTGCTCATCTCCATCCTCTATGTTCATGGGTGTTGCCGTATCATCATTGTCCGCAGCTATCGATGTAGTTTTTGGTGGCGCCGGTTCTGGCAAGGACGTTGGTCGGACTACCGGTTTACTGTGAATGTGTACTGTGCTTGTAAGTTGCTTTTTGGGCGTTAATCCTGTAAAAAGAATGTATGAGATATGTGTTTTTTACACTTGATACCACCTATACACTGTAGTATTTTGAATATGGTCTTTGATACACCATGAATCTCGTACCTTGTAAACCATCCGTGTCCGACTTTCGTTTCTGGCAGTATTAGAAAGCAAATTCATACAAGGTCAATTCACGCTGTTGCCTGTTAATCGCGAGAGAATCATGCGATGTTTGACTTACAGAAGGAGGCTCACTGTTCTGTTGTGGCTTACTGGGTGTTTGTTCTGAGAAAATGAAATGTTCACAAACATTGTTCTAATTGTACAAGGCACACAAAATTGGGTATGAGGCAAGGCAACTTACGAGTTTCATTTTCGGAATCGTCGTCCTCGTCAGAGTAGTTCACAAGATTTCCTAGCAGATTAGAAGCCATGGCTGATCTCTGTAGCGAGAGATTGCAGACTGGGAGCAAAACTGCAGTTTGTAAAGTTCTGTCGCGCTATTTTTTGAATGGCCGACTTCAATGCTGCTGGTGCGGTAGTAACTTCCAACGAACGAGTCCCCGAGAACCGCGTAATTCCTTTCCACTCATGTTGGCCATTTTCGCTCGACAAAGCTTTCACATCTCTCAACCACTGAAAACATGTATCACGTTACCTCAACGTTTGCCTAAATCATGTTTCGAACGTTCGTTCATTGGTTCACAAAGGTGGTCTTCTCAGCTTAAGTCGCCATCCCTGTTTCCCATTCGACCACACTATTACAACGAATCCAATGGCAGCCTATCAAAAGCGCTTCAGAGACAAAACAATCCATTTCGCAAATTTGGTCGACGTCTAAACAATACAAGTCCAAATGTAATCATATGGACAGTTATAGGCACTAATGTATCAGTATTTCTAATGTGGCAGTATGCTATATCAAGCTACCAACAATTTCAAGACCCTCGATGGCTGAAGTTTATGATGAAGAACTTCATGGTTCATGTAGATTCTGTATCCAGTGGGCGATGGCATAATCTTTTGGCAGCTTCTGTATCGCACAAGGATACTACTCACCTTGGAGTCAATATGCTGGTTTTATACACAATGGGCATGGGAGTCATTGAAGCCATTGGCGCATCTCGGTTTTTACTTCTCTATGGTGCTTCGGGTATTGCCTCTTCGTTAGCTCATATTGGATACCAGAAATACATTCTACCCAGGTTGCAAAAACGGCCTCTTCCCCAAACCATAGGTTCTCTCGGAGCTTCGGGATCGGTCATGGGCATTACAACATTTTTTGCGTGCGCCTGTAAGTAATGAAATCATATTGAAGCATAAAACAATGGGAAGTATGGATTGTTTCTTTGGCTCACATGTCTTTCTAGTCCCTAAAGCTACTTTTTTGGTCTTCTTCATTGTGCCAATGCCAGCTATTGCCGTAGTAGGGTTGTTTGCAGCATACGACATATATAAAGCTTCTACAGTCACCGTGAGTACCACTCGCTTCGAATATAAGGTATCTTCTACACCACTAACATCTTTTTGTCCACCACTCTTTGCAATAGTATGGTACAATCGATAGTGCAGGTCACATAGGAGGGGCAATGTATGGTGCGGCGTACTGGTTCCTTAGAGTCAAGCCATTATTGAGAGCTGGTCGCTGGCGTGTATAATAAACAGGCAAGATAATATTGGACGTAGCAGCTCAATTACCAACATTTAAGAACATGCGATATGGTAAATCTGTGATTTTTGCTACGTTTAGATGCTTTTTCGTTGGTATGACTGCCTGCCAAAATATTTAATACTGTCTAAACAACTGATCATGCCAATGCATGTAGTACCATTGTAAGCAAATTCGATAGTATGATATACTGTATCTAGAATGACACGGTCATCTCGTCCCGCTTGATTATCTCTGCGGTGCCTTCAATAGCTTATAGAAAATGGTACAGAAAGGACGTATCGTCTCATTTGAGTTTCTTTGTACTTCTCATAACTCCACCGGGACAATCTTTGGAGGGTGATGATGATAGTTTATTGGTAAAAGAAGTGCATTGATATTACGTACAATACGCCTAGGGCAGCTGTTAATGGGTTTGCATTTCATTTTGACCCTGAGAACCAAACCTATTAGTTAAAAGAGCAGCAGGATCGGTGTTTCCAAAACCAAAGGCACTCACATAATTAACATAGTCTGGCGTTTCGCAAGCCTCGTATTCTTCAATCAAGTCTTGCACAACCTGTCGGGAGTCATCAAACTCGTCCAATGTGTCGGAAAACATAGGCTCTTTGCGATATTGCTCCAGGAAAGCATTTCTCTTCCTGAATTTATCATACTGATCGCATGTCCTTCTGAAAAGCTATGGCAAGGGGTTAGCGAGAGAGCTCAGATTTCATCCGCACCAAAGAGTTTAAAGCACTTACAGATGCAATACTTGTATGATTGGCAAGCATAAGTCCGCTCACTCGATGTGACGTTTGAACATATGGTGATTTCTTTGTCAAAGCAACTTGAATACTCGCTGGTCCCCAAGGAATGAACTGAGCTAGGCGACGTTCTCTTATACGCAAAAGCGATTTATGCACCTGAAAAGAGGGTCAGCCGGCTGTTTGCAATAACCACTTCCAAACTCGAATTGAAGTTACATACATCGGTTGGATCCGCTTCGCCTTGAATGATGTTCAGCACAGATATATAGCAACTACGTTTACTCGGTATTGTCGACACCATGCGATTTTTGGGCTGCAACAACCTTCGCATGACATCCAAGACCGTCGTTTTGCGAATGGATTTGGCCTAAAAACAGCAATTGGTTGATACCGATGAAGTCAATTATACACTTGGATATCGAATGGATCTTACTTTATCAACCTGGTCGCTTGAGAAAGGCGTATATGCTGTAGTCAAGAAGTGGCACTGAGGTGTAGGGATAAGTGAAGATATCATGCCAACCAAATCATTGTTCATGTATCCAGGATATCTCAATGTCGTAGTGCTCGCTGACATGACGGTGGATACCTATACCAAAGGCACGATGTTAGTCCTCCTTCCATACAGAGCATCCAAGAAGTCGCGATTTTCCTGTAATACTTACCAGTTGATTGGTTTGCTCAAATGTTGGTGTTTGTATGTGTAGGCGATCAGTTGCAATTCGTGCTAAAGCCGCATTGTCCAACACCACCTATTAATTAAAGTGTTAATGCCCATGTCGTCGCTAAATACATCTTTCGACAAGGCTAAAGCTGGACCATACCACACTATCTGCATTGCAGGTTAATCTCTTCAAACTAAGTATGCTGTTGTATGGTTGAACGACAATATCCGATACCTCCTCCGAGTTTGGAAAGACTGAGTAAGTTTGAATCAATTTCTTGGGGTAGCGATCGTTGAGACGCTCCAAGAGGAATGAACCCATGCCAGAACCAGTGCCTCCAGCAATTGAGTGCAATAACATGAATCCCTGTCAAGGCGAACATTTAGCCCAGATCCTCACATCAGCATCAGAATTTTTTCGATATATACCTCAAGAGAGTCGCTACCGTCAGCTTCTCTGTCCACCATATCCATAATCTCTTCGGATATCTTCTCTCCTTGTGCATATCCATGAGCCCAAATATTGCCAGCGCCACCACCATCATTCGACACAAATATATTTTCTGGGTTATAGAGGTTCGCAAATGCCGAGGATCTGATGTTATTGACGACCTGGAAACATAGGACGAAGAAAAAACCAGTCGTAAGCATAAACATAAGTTTCAGGACAAAGCCAGTGGGATAAAATGTAAAACTTACTCTTGGTTCCAGATCGAGCAGGATGGCACGCGGAATGTAGTGATCATCGTCGGCCTAATAGCCAGAAACAAGGTTAATTGCTGTTGCATGACCATGGTTAGCACATTCTTATATCTGACCTGGTAGAAAAAGACGTCCTTCCTGTCACCACCCTCCGTAGCGAAATCCTCCAAGGTACCGTCACTGCTAATTCCATGTTCGGCACACAGTTGCCGCCAAAATTCGCTTCCAACTGCAAATGGTCATATTATCAATAACAAGGTAACAGACGAGTGATAGGATAAGTGACGCTTACTCTGATTGCCGCATTGTCCGGCTTGCAACGTAATGATTTCGCGCGGCATACTGGTGTAGTGGAAGACGCGGTGAGAGACGCGCTGCAAGCCCAAAAAATTCACTACAAGTGATAAAATTAGTGCGGAGGTTCAACCGTTCACTCGAGTTCCCGTAGCCACCATGTCCACTCAAGATGCAGCATTCGTCTATTTCAGCTTGGAAAGCATCTATTCATTCAATGACCATCATAAATCGCTGATAGAAAAAGCAACGAGGGAAACTCGGAAAAAGCTGCGCATAGCTGTATCTTGCCCTGCCCTTGCATCCTATCGGAATGCAATTGACGCTGTATGGGAGCCGTTGCAGGAACTGTTAAGCCTAATATACGTTGCCCAGCTACAGCCAGCTTATGAGACCGAGAACCCGCTACTAGATGCAACTGCTGTTATTGTTGAGCTGTGTGGCTATGAGATCGCTGTAGATGATATCTACGAAAGAATATATGTACTGGAAGCAGGTTAGTAAAGCTATATACTGCTGCAATGACCTCATTTGCACATATCTCATTCACCTTTTGTACAATTCAGACAAGGAAACAGTACATGAACTCAATCAAAAGCGAAGTTCTGGCCCTTTGCCCGTACAACTTGTTCAAACGACTACAAAATTGGTCGATGACACATCAAAATCAGAGTCTATCAACAACCGCAACGCGCGACAGTTTGAACAAGTGGCGGTAGGAGGCACGTTTGATCACCTGCACGCAGGACATAAGATATTGTTGACCATGACAGCACTAATTGCATCTAAGAAGCTGTATTGTGGTATCACCGGTAACGTATCGTTTGGCACGCGTGTTCTCTGTGTATCAATAATGAATGTAAATGACTAACTGCTGCTCATAGATGATGTAATGCTGGCGAAGAAAAAGCATAAAGAGCTTATTGCATCTACAGAAGATCGTATAAAGAATGTTAAGGAGATCTTGAGAATAATTCGAAAAGACATTGAACTTTGCGTCGTACCTATCACTGATGCCTTTGGACCAACCGTTACCGAAGAAAAAATTGAAGCTTTGGTAGTGTCTGCCGAAACCATGGCAGGAGGAAACGCAGGTATGAATGACAATCTCGGATAAAGTAGTGTTACCAGTTGATCAAAGAATGCTAATGAAACCATTTTGATGACAATGATAGTCAACACTGAAAGAGCGAAGCTAGGATGGCCCCCAGTTGAACTTCGTGTTATCGATGTAATTTCGCCAACAAAAACCTCTGTTCACGGTCAAGATATCTCGGCATTAAAAATATCATCAACATGGATTAGAAACTATATAGCCACCGATCAACGAGATTAAATAAATACTTGGTGCTCACCCGCCAGTGCAGTCCAGCAAATATTATCAAGTCAATAGCAATGCAAAGGATTGGACGTTTATTGTCTGGTTAGACAGGGCGTGAAACTCAAAAAAAAGGAACAACGGAAAATAACTAAAGCAAAAAACAAGTAATAGGAAAAAAACAGTCAAAAGACAAAGAACTTGCACGCTGTACACACAAGGTATCATGAGATTAAGTGAAAACAAAAGATGATGAGAGTGGGGGTCATCCACGGTCAACATCGTATTCCCAACCACTGAATTCCTTTTCCTTTGCTTCAAACATGTCGACCAGCCGATTATTCAAGGAACGGAATACTTTTTGTAATCGGTATCTCGTTGAAAGACCGAGTTCTTTGTTTTCCTCCTTCGTTTCTGGTGATGTTGTCTCAAGGTCCGGTTGCACTTGATTACTTTCGGTGGTGGTTGAAGTGGGTTGAGATTCCTTTGCCGGTGCAGGATTATTGGGACGGGCAATAGTAGGATCTTCCATAGCCATGGCAGGAACGCGGGCGTGGGAACCACCATGTCCACGTCCATGACCATGATAATGGTGGTGGTGATGATAACCACCAAGAGGGGGATTTAACTGTTCGACGCCAGCTCCATTATCGAAGTTGAGATGGACGCGACCATTGCCAAACAGTTCATTCTCTGATAATTGCCAATGCCTTGGGAAGTGTTGCTGTGAAAATACGCTGTCGTCTATACCTAAAAATCGAGCAATTCGTTGAAATGATTGTGAAGGGTCGTGAACGAAATCTTCAGAGCGTATAACGAGAATTTGGGAAGGAGGGAAGTTCTTGATAAAAGGCTCCAAGGAGTTGGAATACATGCCCCTTGCAAGTGAGTCGAATCCATGGGGTCTATCCGTGGCTATTGAGGAAAATGGCATGAGTGAGATACTGATAATAATCAACGGCCAATGTTAAAACTGAATATCATCTTACCACGACGGTCAAGCTCAGGACCATCCAAAGGGATATTCATGTTCCATGAGGCTCTGACTTCACTGCCTTGATGGCACTGTACAAAGCCAGTCCAGCCTGTTTGAGTACTGGTATGGCCACATCGGCGCAAAATTTGAAGTTCCACATTCATAAAGGTTTCAAAAGATATCCCTGATGTGGCATGACCAGCTTCGAGGTATTGCGCGTATGCCCTGTCGATAGGATCTCGCAACACGAAAATAAGCTTGACGTGTGGCAAGGTCTCCCGTATACGCTTGGCAGTTAAGTGGCTCTTGTAGAGGTAATGAGGGGCATTCTCTCCCGAGATAATGGATCGCTTCTTTCCCGTTCTATCGGTTGACATAGTATGAAGATCATCTGAGTCCAGATAGGGAAATTTGCTTAGATAAGATTCGAAAGCCGAAGACTCTTCGTAGTGGTCAGAGTCGAAGACAGAATATCCGTTGGTCTTGACATTATCTAAAACTTGTGGGTGTTGTAATAAGGTATTGTAAATGTAATTGGAGCCGCATAATTCTCCTCCAGCAAAAATAAAGGAAGGTATTATTTTTGCACACATCTGAACACCCCATGGGCAATTCGGTGGATAGTACACTAGATAAAATTAGAAAAAATGGCATCATCAGCAATGTGCACACTTTGGGTGAACTTGATGATAAAAATAGAGCTTACATTGGGTATCTACGTTTGCTGTTCTTGAGTTCGACTCTGAGTATTTGTTTTTAAGTACGCCTTTAAGCTTAGAGTATGAACGACGGTTGGTAAACGGTTCGAACACTGTTTCATCATCGCTTCCAAGGCGCGGAGACCATATATATGGCCGAGCAACAAGTAAGGCTATGACGAGAAAGACAGCGAGCAAAGTCAGTCGTAACCGTTTCCGAAGTTGCCTGAGATGAATTGTTCGGGCATGTCCAGGGGTTGAATGGTGGGGATGAAGAAAAATAGACAAGACTGCATTATCTATTTCACTCATGAGCTGAATGAGAGGATGGGGTGTTTTGGTTGGTCGGTTTGGTCGCTGATGGGAATCGACAGACGCCGACGAACTATCGTGGGAGGATCGTTGATAAGTTGGATGAGCTTTCATTGATTGTAAGGAGGACATGGAGTTCAGGAGGACATGTTAGAGTAGATGGATAAGGCGACACAGGGAAAAGCGTTACACATGCGAGGTGGAAAGTTTTTTTTTTTTGGTCTTTGTGGCCCTGCTTTTTGGGCTGGTCTTTCAGTGCCGACACCACTGGTTATGCCTTTGACCCAACTCACCAACTTCACTGCTACCCAACATGTCTCTAGGTTTATATAACGCTCATCCACTTCTTTATAATTTGCACTATTGTATTCATTTTTTGTATTTTAAGGAGAGAAAAGAAATGGAAGAGAGAGAGTATAAGAACAACAAAAAAGTGGTAATAAATGTCTTTCATTTTTTTCTTCTATGTAACAACTCGGCTCGAATCGCAAATAAGAAAAACATTTACTGCGTCTCATTGTATTTGGCGGCCTCAACACCGTGTTGGTCGTGGTTAGCAAAGTTGAACCAGGGGATTGCATCTGGAAAATTGAGTTAGAAACTCAACACGCAGTAAACAACGACGCATCATGCAAGAGAGAAGGCAACTTACTGAACTTGAGCTGAGCATTCCTGGAGTTACCAGCTGCGACTGACTGAAGGTATGGTGAAAGCTGGCTCTCGCCGTATAAAGGTTTGCCTTCAGCAATGCGCTGAGCCATTTCAGCCTTGTCCTTCTCAACTTCAGCAGTGTTCTCTTCCCAACCCCAGAAACGAACTGGTAGTAAAAGTATTTACATTAGCCGTCTAATAGATTCCCGTCCTTCCAATCGGATCATACACTTACGACTGCTTCTTTGATAGGCGATCAAGAAACCACCAACGGCACCAAGGAAACCGGCCAATCTCAAAGGTCCTCGCATTGCTTTTGCTGGGCCACTAGGATTTAATTTTTCTACGGAAAGAATGCACTTGTTAGGTCACTGTTTACGTCGCAAGTACAAAAAAGGCTCAACGGCAAGTATTCGTGTAGGTTATATCCAGTCACCGTCGTGTGTATACCGTTGTTGCTATCTGTCGCGCTTCTGACTATATCCCACAAAAAAGTGATACTAATTTATGTTGGCAGTAGTCTTATGTGAAAAGACTTGTAATCGGTACTTTTCTTTTTTTCTGAATATCGAGCTTTTGGCAACGAAGATATAGATGCCAATCTAAGTCAGTTCTACAATGTGAAAGTGTACGTACCGAATCCAAGCATAATGGCTGGAGCTGCAGCGGTACCGGCAGCCAGTGCAGCATAATCAGAGGGTCGGAAATAACGAACGACGCGGAAAAAGTGTGGGTCCTTGTCAATGACAGGATAAGGAGTCTCAACGTCTTTGATGGGCATGACTTTCAACGGCGAATGCAAACGTTACAAACAAAGATGTCGTTAATATGGTCGAAAGGTGGGGATTGATATTGTGAATTTAGTATGTGGTAAGTGAGAGGTAGAAGTAGGTAAGAGGTCTGTTGGATTCGAGCTGTCAAATTATGATGTACTCACCAGAACGGTTGAAAATACTTAGTTTTGCAGCCTTGGATGCTCCTAACCAAAAATATGGTGACGTCACGGGCAATGGTGGAGCGGTGAAAAAACTGAGGCAGCAGCCCTGCGGAGATTAAATGACTTCACAAATTTCTACGAGCATGCTATCCAGCAACCCCCAGAGAATGATTTGCTTGTGGTTACGTATCGAATTCAAAAATGCGCTATAAGAAAAATTCTTCAGATAGAGTTAACTGAGAAGCCAAATTCATTGAAGTAATAAGCTTTAAAGCTTGAAGCTGATTGAGCAAATAAGAGAAGCTCTTAAAACCCTTGTATCTTCCATCAGCTGCAAGAAAAATCTTGCTTTAATCAAGTATGTACAAACTAAATTTTAAAAGAATGCCACTAAAATGTACGATCCTATCTCGGCAACTTGATTCAAAAGCTGTTCTAGTATAAGCTGGTTGCCGACGCTACCTCCTCTAATATTTGTTACCGCCTATTTCATAATGCTGAACATATCGTACAGCTTAAGTGGTTGTGTTATTCCGACAGAAAACATATAATTGCATTTGCTGCTATCAACCATCAACACTCGAGCTCAACCGCTCGTTATAATTCAACTTTGATTATCACTCTTCCTGGGTTCACTGAAGCCGGGTTAGTTGGAGTGAAGGTGTAATGGATGACTCGGTATCTATGATCAGTTTATGCCAAAGCCATCGCCTGTATTATAGCACAAGACTTTCTCCATGGCTCTTTAAGAACCAGATAGCGCTGTTCATGATTGTAGCATACTGCTTGCATGGAATTATTTTGCGCCAATATAAAAAAATTAGGATCACGATATCAAAGCAGAGAGCCAGAAATGTATTCTCACAATTATAATAACTAAAGCATGGCAGAAGAAACAGTTCAAGCATATGTCCTCACAGATATCAACGTATGAATGCTATAAGTTTCTCGATACCATCTCAAGCAAGGAAATTTGGCATGATTTATCACAAAGAGAGATGAACCAAATGTACACGGTTCAGGTAGTGATCCCAATGTCGAAACTGCAAACGGATACACTCTCTGAAAGGTCATCACAAGAATGAAATGGCTCAAGTAAGGATCTGTGCGTTCTAACAGAGAGCTCCAAAGGTTCACATCGCGAAGATCGGGGGTTTTACTCCTCCGCGACAACCGAGAAACGCCGTCACTGACAAGCGATCTCGAGCCCGAAATGGTAAGAGAATGAACCTCTTTGCAAGGCAATCTCACAGACTAAGCCCCAGCCAAGAGGCTAGGAACTTTTACGAAAGATATTCAAAGGTTCATGTACCTGGCATGGGGATTTTAAGGTCCCTAACGAACGTGAAACGCAGTCACTGACGAAAAAGCTTGTTGCCAAAATGGTAATAAATGGACCTCTTTTCGAAGGCAATCGCATGAATGGAGGCTTAGCAAAGGGTTGAAGGTGTCGGCTCAAAGGATTTCAAAGGCTCATGCCGCCAACATGGGCTTTAACATGGGTCTGTACGAAGGAGAATTGTTTATCACGTGGCGGATCAGACGAAAAATCCTGTCCAGAAATGGCAAGTGGATGAACCTCTTTGCGAAGGCAATCGCATGAATGGAGGCTTGGCAAAGGATCCAAGAGGTTGGTTCGAACGATTCCAAAGGCTCATGCCGCCATGATGGGCTTTAACATGGGTCAGTACGAACGAAAAATATTTATCACGTGGCGGATCAGACGAAAAATCCTGTCC